GTTTGGCAACCCAATGCAAACGTATAACCTTCACTCACCTGGGGAATCTGGTGGAAACCCGGCAGCTCGGACAAAAGTGGTTTTCCACTCGCTGGGCTCCCCAGTGTTGTTCATTGGTGTTAGGACTGAAGGAGGGAGCGTTCTGCGTCTGTCCATCACAGAGGTGGCAGGGCAAACAGTCCACCCAGGTGAAGAAGCGATTTTTGAACCACCAGAGCAATTCCAGCACCAAGAAGTCTTCTATTCCAAGTTTACATTCTGAAAACAGGACAGCAAGTCAAACACTTCACCACACACACACACACACACATTACATATCCAAGTTTTCTGTGGGTGAAAGTTTCTTACTTGGGTCGGACTCATTAGCCTCCTTCAGCTTCTGTTGAGCAGCAGAGTACAGCTTCTGGTGAGGGATCAAACGCCGGGTTTTCTGCTGCAGCTCAAGGTTTTCATAAAGCAGCACATGTTGGAAGTTTGTTTGAAGAGTCACAAAGAAGCTCATGCTGCTCTCCTGACACAGAGGCAAATAAACAGACAGGTCTCCGATGTGTCATTCAAGGAAGTGAATGTTGTTCAGGCATTTGGCGGAAGCTTAAAATAGCGCTATTAATAGTTTCCTCACTAACTACTGAAACTATTATGTCCTATAACTTGAAAGCATAACTGCTATAAAGTCACACTGCTTTATTTTTTCAGTTGTCTGTCCACGTTGTAGAGAAAATATCCTCTATCAGGAAACTGAAGATCCTTTCAAAATAAAAGTAACAAAAAGAAGATCCTTTGTGTTTTTGGCTTATAGAGTGAGTCTTATCCATAATTAATAACTGTATCACATGACTTCAGCTAAATCATTGTAAGATCTCCCAGCCCTGGAATGCCAGGTGGCTTGGTCAGCTGTCCAATATCCATGGATGAAAATCCACAACAGTTACAAACTAATGTTCCAAGTGGCTCATTTCTGTGTTACATTCTTTATTGGTCACAAATCTGTCCAAGGAGGTCTCTATGCTCTGTAAAAAGAGGATAGACTTGGCATGACCCGATTTAATCAGGGTTTCTCTACTCTCTGATTCATCAGTGAGAGTGTCTTTATTTACCAAGGTCGGTGGCTGCTGTGCTGGTGATGCTGCCGATAGGTTCGCCGCAGCAGTAGAGCTCGCCGCTGCAGAAGCTGCAGCAGGCTCAGGAGCCGGTTGGACAGGACATCCCTCACGCAGCCTCTGGTCCCTTTCTGTGGCAATAGATTCCCTGATGAGCTTCAGCTTTTCCACTGATGCAGACTTGGGGAAGACTAAGTGAGTCTCAGCCTGGCAAGAGGTAGTTTGCTCACAGTCAAGCAAGTGAGAAATGTCCAATGGATTTCTAGGCAAGTTCTACACAGCAAAAACACCAGCTCGCTTCTAAAATAGAAGCCATCTGGTACAGTAGAAATGAATAAATTACCTCCTCAAATCCCATCTCAAAGAGACATTCTACAGCACCTTTGACAGGCAACAGCTTTGTGGAGAAAGTTGGATTCCCAATGCGTATTGATCTGTATTTCTCTTCATTGGGATACCTGTTAGAGATGACATATAATAGTAATCATCTGAGGAATACTGACTGATACCAACCAATCGCACATTTTCAGTGTTGGCATTTAAGTTGTCCAGTATCTGCCAGCAGATATAATGTGCCTTGAATCCACTGTTTTCCTACACAAGTATCATCTCAGCTAAGCAGACAACATATATGGATTACTCTATCGTGGGCCCTCTGCTTCACTAACTGTCAATTTACCACCAAAACACTGATGTACACTGATCGCTATAAAAATGGTAGCTTCATATATAAAGTACTTTTCCGGATATCTGAGGCAATGTTTGAGCATCTCAAAAACTATTACAGATATTTCAGAATGCTACAAGGTAGCATTTTACAATTACGCAAAACAAAAGATGAAGAATGCTAATTAGAAAATGTGAAATTCATAGTCACACAAACTAGAAAGTTTTATTTTTATTCATTTAAATTTCACGATACAGTGACAGTTGTTGTACAACAAAAAGAAAATAGTAATAGGTATATAGATATACCATTCAGAAACTGCTACTCGTTGTCTTCTGCAGTGGTAAGTTGGTTTTAATGTGCTCAAACACGGGGCAGTTCATATTTTGAGAAGCCAATACTCAGACATTTTTTGATCTGTCTCAATTTACAGATCCGGATTTCACTTTTACAGTAAGAGAGGCCAGTTTGTGTGGGGGCGGGTTTATCACTTGGTATCCCTACATCTATCATTACAGCTGACTTCCTTTTCTTGTCCACCGCCACTATATCTCTGGTTAGTTAGCCATAAGCAGAGGGTCAAGCAGAAAAATAAAACGAACAAACAAACAAACCCCCAAAACATGATTTTCAGATGAAATGACCCACGTGCAAACCAAAGACATCTGTGGTTATGACACATACTTCTGTGGACGTTTAGAGAAGAATAGCATTCTCCTTTATTGACACCTGCACTGACATATTTAGCGTCACTGTCCTCGTAGCAATAAATCGCTTAATGAACGTGTAAATATATAAATGTATTTTACATCACCAAAAACTGTTTTCTGTTAAGTCATTTAAACCCATTTCAATAGTTATGCCATGATTTTCTAGGAGTCGGCGAGTGACATAAAAGCTAAAGGGCATTACATTAACAGCTACAAGCGTACAAACACCGAGGCTCGACTGCAGCTGGGTAAGCTTTCCTAGCGCTTCGTTGCCTTACCTTATAATGTTGTCCGCGTATGTAAGCAACAACTTTGTGACATCTAAGAAGACTTCGTTTGGATTCTCACACAACGTTGTGACCGCTGATGAAACAGCCATGTTGATATTTCTTGTAAAAAAAAAAGTCTTGTAAGTTTTCAATGCAATAGCTAACGTTAAGTAGCTACTTTAGGGTCCTAAAGGAAGCTGCCCCATCACAGCCTGAATAAATGTTTGATTCGTCTGAAGGACTTAAAAAATGCGTTTGAATATTTGTGCCATAATTATCCACAATTAAACACTTTTATATGTTTTCTTCCTGTGGTATTGAGTTGGTTGATTTTTGTTGGCCATTTAAATGGATCTGGCCTTTACTAATACTACCTAAATACAGCTGAAGACAAACACAAGGAAGGCATGGACACGGACATCATAAATAACCGCTAACTCTAGTCTGGTCTGTTCTGTAATAAGTTTATGTAAGTCCGTCATTTATATATTTTTTCCTGTGATATTTACAGTAAAAACTCCAGTCCAACTAAGCCCGAAGCTGTCAAAGCTTACACAGACAGCAGGATGTCTGTTTTTTCACTGTTTTGTTGGAATAAACTACGGTTGAGACCACAGAACATAAGGACTCTTCTGCACAAGAATGCCGGTGTTTGTCCGAATCAGGAGTCGAGGCACCACAGCTCTGGACTGCAACAAAGAAGGAGGGTTGTTATCACAGGAATAGGGTTAGTCTGTCCTCTGGGCACAGGCACTGCTCTGTCCTGGGACCGTCTGATCAAAGGTCAGAGTGGGGTAGTTTCCCTGGACTCAGAAGAGTACAGGACCCTCCCCTGTAGAGTGGCAGCTCTGGTGCCCAGAGGAACCAAGGAGGGTCAGTTTGAAGAGGAAACATTTGCTTCTCGTAAAGAGATCAGTAGCATGTCATCAGCAACCGTAATGGCCCTTGGAGCTACTCAGCTGGCCCTGGAGGATGCAGGCTGGTGTCCCAAAAGCCCAGAGCAGCAGCTCAGCACAGGGGTGGCTGTTGGGATGGGCATGGTGTCGCTGGACGAAATCGCTCGTACCTCCGCCCTCTTCCAAGAGAAGGGCTACAACAAAGTGAGTCCATTCTTTGTGCCACGCATCCTTGTCAACATGGCTGCTGGACACATAAGCATCAAACACAAGCTAAAGGGTCCCAATCATGCCGTGTCCACCGCTTGCACCACAGGTGCACATGCCGTAGGTGATGCAGCCAGGTTCATCGCTCACGGCGATGCAGTTGCTATGGTTGCAGGGGGCACAGAATCCTGTGTGGGGCCACTTTCATTAGCTGGCTTTGCTAGGGCCCGTGCCCTCGCGACCAAGTGGAATAACAACCCTACACTTGCATCAAGACCTTTTCATCCAGAAAGAGAAGGTTTTGTAATGGGAGAAGGAGCAGCGGTGCTGCTGCTGGAGGATCTGGACCATGCAGTGAGTAGAGGAGCCCGGATTTACGCAGAGGTCCTGGGTTATGGGCTCTCAGGGGACGCTACTCACATAACTGCTCCTACTGTGGATGGCGATGGGGCATTCAGGTGACTCATTTCAAAGTTTTCTCACTTGATGATGCTGTTTCTTGTTTGTTTGGGTTTTTTTGCTCATATTAGTATTTATATATTTTTAAAATATACTGATAATCAGTAAAGTAGGGTAAGAACAAATTTAGTTACTTCATGCAGAAATATATGCCCAAAATTTCATAAGTGGTGTTTATGAAACTGTGAATTTATAAAACTGGATCCCAGATAGAAGGACCAAAAAAATGGATGGGATGCAACAGGTACATATCAACCATGCAGCTCCATGTAATGTTTGTAGTCTTACTGATGGGTGGCAGATGATGTGGTGGTTAGCACTGTTGCCTCACAACAAGAAGGTTTCTAGTTCTGCCTAGGACATTTCTGTGTGGAGTTTGCAGGTTCTCCCTGTGTCTCCACGGGTTCTCTCCAGGTACTCCAGCTTACTCCCACAGTCTAAAGACATGCATGGGGTTAGGTCAATTGGTAAATCTAAATTCACCATGCTGTGAATGTGAATGGTTGTCTGTTCCTATGTGGGTTGGGTAAGTGGAAGAAAATGAGTGCACATTAGACTATATGTCAGAGCTTAAGCCACATTTTTCAAAAATCA